CGGTGGCCATCATTAAGTTTTCAGTGTTCATCTGTTATGATAGAATCGGGTATAAAGTTGAGTCAGAGGTGATATTGTGTGAATTCTTAGAGCAGCAATTAAGGAGGGATTTCGCATAGGTGTGTGGTTGAAATAAAGGCCACCGTAAATAATTTCATTTTTACAATATAAGTGTCACGCTCTCAGTATAATAAATATGCTCAACACTATTCAGTGGAATGTTCAAAGTAGAAAAAATAAAACATTTGAAAAATAGTCTCTGCTCTTGGTCATTTTGACAAGGATTTCGTAGCGTATCATGAGTCAAAGGACTGAGTCAAATTGGAATTTGCATTTTCTTGCGATTTCCTAGATTAAGTTTAAAACGGGTTGTTGTTTAATGAAAATAATCCAGGAGGGCAACTATATTCGAAAAAACTAACTATAGCCTCCATAGTGAAAAATATATCGATATGCCCACCAAACAGTGAGGACCTCAGATCGATATTGGTCACGAGGTCAACCTCATGGCATTGAAGTCGATCGGAAGTTTAGCGGAGAAAATTACTTGACACGCCACTAACGTGACACTCATATTTTAATTTTATTTTATATCGTGCCCAAGAAATTGCAAAAATAAATTTTATAAGGAATGTAAATTGCGTAGACTCCTCCTGCACTGTCAAACAATCCGATTGTTGTTGTGATGTTGTTAACCAATTTCGATATTGTAATGATTGGCAAATTTTAAACTACAGAAAGAAGATGAAATATTGATTTTCCGTCTCACTATGCACTCGTGACTAACCTTCGAAATTCTTCAAGAGGTATTCCCGCATGGCGTCGAAGTCGATGAGGAAGTTGGCGGTGAAGAGTTGGGAGTCGAAGGGACAGGACGCGGCGGCGGCGGTGAAGTTCAGTGCGACGGTGGAGACGTAAATGCAGCCCACGTTGTCCACGAGCGTGAAGTTGGCCCGGCATCCCTCGCCTGGGAAGAATGTGATTGTAACAAATGTAAAAGAACGACCATGACATTTATACCTTAATCAGACTTGTCTAAAGAGATCGCTATATAAAAACCATTACATTTAAAGCGAAGAATTTAAATTTTTGAATCGTTACTATCGCTTCAGCAGTATGTTACATGGAACATGATTTACGCTTGTAGAAAACTCGTGATTCATATGCAGTGTCCAAAAGGCCAGAGGTGCTTTCATCAATTATTGTTTCGGTGAAGGAGCAGTGGAAGTGGCGTGGTGGCTGACGCCTGATGGCCACCGCGACGCATGCGTCCGTGCATAGCGCGCGACACTCGCCTGAAAAGTTATTATTTTCATCACAATCATTATTTGAAATGTTTTTCAAATAATTATCACATTATCATGAACATTTTATTTCTCCAGTGATCAATCCAAAATACATTTGCATGTGTCATATAATTAATCTCACAAGGACGCTGCACGACCGCGCTGCTCGAGATCGCAGTTGCGACAATTTCCGCGCCCATGAAAGTCCTGAACGTATAAGCTGAGCCCTCCTCGATGCTGCAGCAGACGCACAGCAGAGCCCCGAGCGCCGCAAGCAGCCGCAAGTCCATCTTGTCGGGCTAAAATTATCTTTTCAAAAGTATTGAAAGCGTTAAATTGCTAAAGATTCCACTAGTGTCATAATACTACTTGAAAAAATATCAAGAAATCTATGTGGAATTAGTAAACCCAGACCTGTCGCCTCTATTATCGTGAGGATGCTGTATTCTAAAAAAAACAGTCTTCTGGAGAAGATGCCGGTGTCGGAATAGCCGACAATTTTTTAAGCCATCAAATTTTTCAAAATTTTGCTTGTGTAATGAAGGTTTCACATTTACTATAATAACTCAAGATAAAGCATTCATAACGATAAAACTAAAACTTCAGCAATATAACTCCATTATTTTCCGTTTATAATTTCAGTTAATTCAAAAGTTGCAAGCAAATTAAGTAAAGACTCAATCACGAGTGCACGATTTTATTTAAACATCAAAACTCAGCATTTTACCCCCCACTGCAAACAGACCAAGCAGCTCACTGACGACCTGCACAAATTTAACCAAAACACTGACCTCTGCGTGATGCCGACGAAATCTGTATTCGCTACGCACAAACTTTTAAGAATAATTTCTTTGCATTTCTTTGTGACTAGAATTGAGTAGTGAAGTTCAACTCACAAATTTTCATCGACAGCCGCCCGCCGAATACCTGGTCACCCTTGAATCGATTAGCGCGGAACCGAGCATGAGAATTTAAATAAATACATCTTCATTTCTTCATTCGTGATGCCGTTAAAGGGAACAATTTCGAAATCAAATGTCAACCATATCCATCCGATTTTTTTTCATATGTCAGAAAATACAATAAAAAACATTATATTTGAAGCCCACTGGAGGAAAAAGCCCACATATCAGAAGCCCACAGCCAACACGCGACGAGGTTCAGCAAGTCTATGCGTGACGACAGTTGCTTCAAATATTAAGTGTGTTAAGAATTGGCAAACTTTAGCAGAAACTTTTTTGAACACCGCTGTGAGTTGTAAATACGAGTTAATGAACCTCATGAAATGGAACTAAGCAAGCATTCCTGATCGAATATAAAAGTTTATACTGGGAAGCCAATCCGAATTTTAGTATTCATAAGGAAAATTAAAGAATTAAATATATTAGGAGAAGAAAATTCTCAGAAATTTTGCTTATGATAATCAAAACGCTTCGGTTGTCAGGTTCATTATCGTTTCGGTAAAATAAACAAGTGAAAACACGTTAATTAGTTGAATTAAGTGAAAATTTAGTGAATTTTATGGAAACTCCCGGGAAACCAGTATATTAGCCATTTGATGGTGCCTGGGCTTACCTTGAGACTCGCTGCAGGTTTTAGTGCAAAGAATTGATACGAAGCTAAAATAAAATTCGTTCATCAATGACGCGTTACTCAGTGCTGAAAACAAAGGAATGAGGAAGATGCGCGAAGAAATAGTTCAGTTGTTGACGTGCACAGACGTCTAATTAGCATTATAATAACAATTGCAAATCAAGTAATGATCCCGCTTGTAAACTATTTTAACCATCGATTTCCTTCAGTTGAGCTTTCACTACTGTACTGTAGTCCTAATTGCTACTTAGTTCATTATCTGCTTATCCCTCTTAGAATATTACTTTGCCTTAAGCTACGGTACAGTCTGTAACGCGATATTGGGATCATGGCTGCGTGATCATTAGCAGATGAATGTCTGAATAACAAGGGTACTTGCGATGGATACTGAACACCTGAGGGTTCGTGTGATGCATACAGGGCGCCTGAGGGTACGTGTGATGAATAAAGGGCGCCTGAGGGTGCGTGTGATGAATACAGTTTCATGGACAGGGTCGAAGGCGTCGTCTTGGAGACCAGCCGCTGCAGGCGCCTGAGCCGAGCGTCACAATTGAGACTTGGCACGTCACAATTGAGACCCACTACCCTCAATCCCACTACCCTCACTCCCTCTACCCTCACTCCCACTACCCTCACTGCCACTACCCTCACTCCCACTACCCTCACTCCCACTACCCTCACTCCCACTACCCTCACTCCCACTACCCTCACTCCCACTACCCTCACTCCCACTACCCTCACTTCCACTACCCTCACTCCCACTCCGGAACTGTTCAATATCTTAGTGAATCGAAGCTGATCATCAATTTCGTTAATTTTTGAAGGCTTGTAGAGAATTTGTTTGTGATTTATAATTCCGGCAGGAAGAGACAGAGTTAAGCCATATATACGTAAATCAGGTAGTAATAAAACATTTCATATACACTTGCCGCTACATTTCATATTATTTTAATCCACTCCTAAATTATTGGTGCATGAAAATTCTCAGTTGCTTCAACTCAATTCCATTTTTGATAAAATCGGAAAAGGAAAATTCCAAATAATAGGTTAACTATAACATCATCAATCATTTCCTGCAAGCATATCCATAGACATTGAGAACTTCAACTTTTAATGCCCTGGTTAATTGGATGATGCCAGTTATTGGCTACCTCATATATTTGCTAGTTCATCTCTTTGACGGATGCATGCAGAGCACTTGTAGTATTGTAAAGAAAAAGGTTAAGTATTACTTCGGATATAGCGTGCAAAAATACGACTTAATGTCAAACTGTAAAAAAACTAGAAACATTTTTATTTCTAACACAAACATGTTACTGGAAATTCAATGTAATTATTATAACACATAAAGTTCGTTCTCAATTTCATTATCTTTCATGAATATATCCAGTTATTCGTCTAAGCAAAATAAGGTCGTCTTTGCACTATAATTCCAAATGTTGACCATACAACTTTGCTAAGAATAATGTTTGTAGCTACATAACTTCCAAGAGACGGAGAGGTTGGCTGGATCTATTACGTTATTTTGTAGTATATGTGGAGGGCGATTATTGTTTTAACTATATTTATTCATTTATTGGTAGTTGTTAAGACTGTCATCCAATATGAGGCTAATATAGCGTCTAATTTACTCTAATATTCTTATTACAGTGGAATCAAGAGAGCGAAAGACTGGACTGCGGAAGTAAGATAAGTCATTTATGACTGACAGTAAGGATATTGATTGGCTGTCATGCCTCCTAAAGCTCAATAAAGATCATTAATGAACCACGAATTCTCTATGTTGCAGTTACGAGCCAATGAGTGACCATTGTTCAATCATTCCTTACGACTATAACTTTGAAGATTGAAAATTGGAACGTTACAAACAATTACAAAGTTATATATGTTATACCACATATTAGCAAAATTTTAATTGATGTCAAAATCAAAGAGTGTCATAAACACGATTAAACTGGCTGTATATCTCAATTGCTTATGATAATATAAAGAAGTATTTTATGAGTTATACACACGGTCATAAATACGAGCTAAAAATAACACGAGTGGAAAGACAAAAGTAAAGTCAGGCGTAGAACTGAGAATTTGATACTCCGTGTCACTTGATAATTGCGAGTCAAACTTCTACAAGATCGAAATTCAATCTAATGTCAACTGAAATATGGAGACATTTGTAGGGATTAACTTGAAGATGGTAGGATTGTAACGCATCGCAGGCCAATGCGTGCGTCCTAATGACTTATGATTAATAAGTAAACGAAATTCAGCAGCTTGAGTCTCTAACTCAAGCCGCCAATGCATCACCTCGTAAATACAGTCATGCCCCACATTCTGTGGTAATGCGAAGTAATTAACGGGATCAGGGAAATGTCGCCTTGACCGGAAATTCAGGGTACGAAACGGAGATTGTGAATGCGTGTCAGGAATTCCGATTCCACTGCAGCGATGATTTACTATAAATAAAGCCTATTTATTCACTGATATAGGAGAAACAGCGATAAACCTGTTGCAAGTGTTACACATAAATTCATTCAATATTTAATGCTGGAGGTCTTGATGTCGTATCAGCGGTCTAATTTTTGCTTTTTACTGTTTACTAAGAAGAGCAGGTATGCAATAAACTCTGATAATTTAAAGGATTTGCGCCAGAATAAGCATATTTATTGGTCATTTGATGTCAAAAGAGGCGAAGTAATGTATTTTTAAGCCATTGAATTCAAATCTGCTTACACAGAAACTTGTAGGCTTTGGTACAAGATGCATCGGCCAGATGATACAAGTAACTCAGTCCAGGATTGAGTAACATTGCCCCACAGCTGGGCACTGTAGCTGGCTCATTTGGGTCGTATTGACCCCAGTATGGTGATGGGTGAGTGGCTGCGATGGTTCCGCCTCCGAGCCATTGCCAAGTGGAGTCCGGAGCATGGATCAGGCCAATCCAAAAGAACGTGCCCGAGGCTGAGAAATAGCACTTGATTACTCAGATTCTAGTTATTAATAAAAAAACAGTAGTGATATATGTCTTCATACGAGTTGGACAATTAACAAGTATTTCATATACATTGAATTCCCTGACAGTTTTTTCGTTCGACTGGCTTAATAGGGTTATAATGATTTGTGTATATAAATCATTTATATTATATATGCATCCACATCATCATTTTAAACCATCTGCGTTCAGTAAATTACGAGTTTAAGGATTTGATAGATAGAAAAGAGGCTTTCATAATTTAATTACATTAAAACATTTTTTTTAACATTTTTTTGAAAAATGCAAGCGCACTGATGACAATTATGTTCGAGCCTTCTTAAACGTAATATTTAAAACTAAAAAATAATACGCATCGTAATATAGTTTTGGGACGCATCACAGATATTACGGGCGTATCGTGAGTCATATGCTTGACTCATTTGAGAAGTTTATATACATATACATGTTAATATATATATACATTATTATGTTAACTACTGATTTAAAACGTATTGTCAGCTGCCGATGAATTTTCGACACTGCAATTATTTCCGAAAATCGGGCTATTAACGGAAATGGGTAAAATTTACCGACAATCTCACTGTCCATATTCCGGACTTACGATCACTGTCCGTCCGTACAGAACTTACAAGAGGTAATCGTGCATGACAGAGAATTCGATAGGAAATGAGTGGCAAAGAGGTAAAAGTCGAAGGCACCCGTTCACTCATATATCACGGTTCTAGGAACAATCCTCATCATGACACTAGCAGTTCAAATAAAATAAGGCTCATCGACTGTACAGATCTGTTTTATCAAGTCCAAGACATGCCATTTTTTATAGTATGGAGTTGACTGATTTCTGGATACGGAATCTGGGTCGGATTTTAAATTAGAAACAAAAACAAGAAGTACTCGAATTGAGGGGAGTGCTCATTTACTATTGTAATAAATTAGTAAATTATCAACTAATTTATACTCTACAACTTACTAGTGAAGTTCGTCAAAAGATATTCCCGCATGGCATCGAAGTCGATGAGGAAGTTGGCGGCGAAGAGTTGGGAGTCGAAGGGACAGGACGCGGCGGCGGCGGTGAAGTTCAGTGCGACGGTGGAGACGTAAATGCAGCCCACGTTGTCCACGAGCGTGAAGTTGGCCCGGCAAACAAGGCCTAGTTCCAAAACATAAATTATGTAGAAAATTACTACAAGTTTTCATTTCTTATGCGTATGTGCTATAAGCCACTATAATGACTATATGGATTGAGTTGAAAGTCATTAATGGGCAAATTTAAATCTGAAAATATACATATGTAAGAATCTGTAAATAATAGTGAGTTTACAGCAAATAAATGCCGAATCTTGTATTGCTTGAACTAAAATACCTGACGATTTGAACTCAAACATAGAATAAATAAAGAGAATTAAATATTGTAATGCTGAAGGCTCTAGGTTGTGTGAAGCTTAGTTAATTAGTTCAGAAAAAGAGTGGATGCGTAAAATAATAATAAAACAATTCTACCAAATTTGTGATTTACTATTTAATATTCAAGTCTATGTAAAGATTGATTTAATCTAAAACTTAAGTGCAGTGCGCTTTTCAGTGCTTTACAAACATCACGAAACAATGTAGTTAAGCGGCGATTGAGTGAATTGTTGGATTGTCAAATTTTAACCTTAATTTATGTTCTTGCCCGAATTGAATGAAATGAAGCTAATATATTTTTTGCAGTTACAATTAACATGCTCGAGCTTATAATTTTTTAAGATATTTTAATGGAACTACATTTACGTTTGTAGAAAACTCTGCTGTCGGAAGCAGGGACCATAAGATTGGTGGTGGCATCAGCGATGGTTTTTTCAGTGAAGGAGCAGTGGAAGTTGCGTGGTGGCTGACGCCTGATGGCTACCGCGACGCATCCGTCCCGGCACAGCGCGCGACACTCGCCTGAAAACGTGATTACTTTTACACAATTCTTCTTTCCAGTGTTTTGTGCATGATAAATTGCCATATGTAACATAATTAAGTATGATTTCAGTGCGTTTTCTATGACAATTAACTGCTATTTCATATTCCACTGTGTGTTTTAACAGGGCAATTATATACTTTCCTAATCTCACAATTAATCAAAGGTCGATGCTTCACCCTATAAAACAAAACGAATACTTTTCCATGCTATATATATGTATCATCTAATTAACTCACACGGACGCTGCACGACCGCGCTGCTCGAGATCGCAGTTGTGGCAATTTCCGCGCCCATGAAAGTCCTGAACGTATAAGCTGAGCCCTCCTCGATGCTGCAGCAGACGCACAGCAGCGCCCCGAGCGCCCCAAGCAGCCGCAAGTCCATCTTGCGGGGCTGAATTCACCTTGCCCGGAAGTATTGAAAGAAAAAATTGTCATCAAGAATATTTGGCATTTAGGCTATCAGTTCGATCAGCTGGAGAGCTCAGATCTGTTATAAGCCTTTCAAAGCCACAAAATAATTTTCATGAAATTAAATTCCAAAAAATCTTATTATTTGCATAAAAGTAAGATAATTCATTTTATTTGCACTCATATTGGGATATTTTTGAGTTTAGCATAGATACCATTGAAAATTGTCAAATTGAGTTTGGAATGCGAGCAAATTTAAATCATGTTCAGGACTGTTGTGCACCAAAATTGCAACAACAAAAATTGTATACCTACAGAAATGTTCGAGACTATACATAAGTAGATTTCATCTTCATTCATTTTGTATTAACAAACTCTTTACCTTCAACGAAAGTTAAAAACCGAAACAAAGTCCGCTTCAACCGTATTAGATTAATTTTTTCTAATTAATTTCCAGTACAATTAGATTACTTCCAGTATAAATCTGGAAGTAGAAATCCATCATCCCTAGAGAAACTTTATTCGTTAGGTCAAGAATATGTTTTCCATGCGCACACCTCGATCATGAAAAGTGGAGCAGCTTACTAATGAGCTGCAGTAAGTTCAAGCAAGCAGCCAGCCCTTGCGTGATAGCTTCCAATTCTTCACTCGATATGGTGCAACATTCTTAAGTGCTTTCTTGAGAAGCTGCTTCGTCTATGACTGTAATTATTTTGTCGCATGCTGCATAAAATTTGACATATCGACGATTGGCTGAATACCTGATCTCCTACTTATGTTGGATTAAAACTTTTTCAGTATTGTTCTATACGAAAAGTTAATAATTAATTATAATAATGAAATATATGATATAGAGTGCTAAATATAATATCATCAACTTGTCAAGTCTCGATCCTCGACCTGTGATATTTTTTTCAGATTTAAGAAACAGGCCCAAGATCCATTTAGATAAAAGCGCGAAAAACGTTCACCGATAATACATAAACTTTTTCTAGATATTGCAGTGCGGGATTGTCAACAGAATTAAATGGGCAGTCGAAGAATTTGAATTTTGAATTATATAAAATATTTAGCATCAATTTAAATCACTTGATATCAAAGCATACAGCAAGCAAAGTAAAAATTCAAATGCAAAAAACTGGCGAAAGACAGAGACCTTCCTCTGTCATTGACTTTGTAAAATCCGTCACCTCATCATGCTTCTTCCCGATTTTCTCCAGTATTCAATATTTGAAGCCGATTATGCGTGCACCTGCACGAATGTGAGCCTAAGGCCAAATCAATGATCAAACGCATTAGCTTTGAGTGTCTTGGCTTTTAGGGGTTGTACGTAAATTATGATGAACGAATCATGTAAATATAGAGCTCTTGAGAATGCTTAGGCAAACACTCGCATTCTTTCCTTATTTTTTCTTGTTCTTGGGAATATATGCCTATGATGATGATGAAAAATTGTTAATCGAAATCAAATTTGGCTCAATTGTTTACTCGTTATCAGGTAAGTCTAGTTTGCATCAGCCTTTAATCATCGTCATGATCGACGATTATTTATTTCGTTCATGTTTGGCGTTTGCTGAGCAATTTTGGCAACAGCACTGAATAAAAGACCTTGCCAATGGGTTATATGGATGGGGTCAATCACTTTTACTTCAAGCCTACCGAAAAATTTTCTTTGCTGGCGGCTGGTTTCGTGTCATCGACACTACCAGACCAAATCAAAACATTTTATCAGTTTCCTGCATACACTTACATTGCACCCAATGGTGTAATTTCATAATTTAGCAGTTAGTGTTTTATGGCATTTAGTCATTAAAACTGATTACATATGTCGGTTCGCCTAAGAGGTTTTCAATACTTAGATGAAAGGTTCAAAATATTCATCGCACATAAGAACTGAATGTTCTTCGAACTTTCTAAATAAACTGTATCACGCGATAGTTGAACTGTCGATAGTACTAGTGCTACCTCAAATATATCCCTTGTTCTTCATTTTGATGAATAATTTGTATTACTTTTAATATTAAAAGATAAAAATATTTGTAGATTCTGTATTGTATGCAAAAAATTCAAGTCCCCATAACTACATTTGCTTCAATATACAAATATACAATACTCTCAGAAACTTTCATGACTTGGCACACAACAGATTTTGCATAAATCAAACGAGAACCCCGAACTAAACAAGTTTCGTACATAATCAACTACCCATTGACACAGAATCTCCAACAAGAGGCAAAAAACATATTGACAAAATGTTATTATTTTTTTAACTTCTTTAGTTGTAAATTCATAGCTATAGCACAAATGTAAATTCATAGCAGGGTGGCCCATTGGTTAAATTTGTTAGTACCAAGATTGGAGCAGTGAGGCGCGGGTTCGATCCCAGCACTGCATGTGTGCCAGAGTGAGTTGTGAGTTCCAGAACGCACAATGCTGTGAATGCTCTGCGATGTTAAGAATCGGCGACAGACCTACGACCTACTAAACGCTGAAACCGCTATTATTAATATTATAAATAACATAAACGACTTGAAAATTATAAATATAGGTGATAATTCTCACAGCACCTTATTTTTAAACAACTTTAATTTGGAAATTCTTTTGTAAGTCAAACACAGTATTAAGAGTTGGTTGGGTCTACCAAATGATGCATAATGAGTCATTATTTACTACGGTTAACATGAAGTCATTAATACTGTTGCCCGATTATTAACAAATAATTTGATCACCTACTGATGTGCGATGAAAATCTGGTCTTCATAATCTAACAATGGAAGGGTGAATTAGTGTGACGCGAAGATGGATGTGAAGGGATATTGTTTAAATAGAAAATGTATCATAAGCCGTCGGCTGCAGTTCATGATCCTTTAAGACATGAAAAAGCTCGTTCAAACTAGATGTAAATATTTTTACTTATGTAGCATACATACGTCTCATGTCTACGGAAGACTTGGACATTTTAGTTAGGCCTGGAGCCGATGAACTTTGACAGAATTCATTCAATAACTATAACTCGCTCAAGATTGTTAAACAATTTGAAACGTTGTTATCTATTTATTTTATTCGCCTTTTCATTATATTCTTTTGCATTGTTTATAATTTATATTAGACTGCCCACAACTTAGTGTTTAATTGTTCATTCTTTATTTTCAGAAGCCGTTACAAGCAGTGGACGAGTTTGCATCCTGAACATTAATGCGAATAAATATCCAAATTCTTCACAATACAGCTTTTTTTGTTTTCGTATTTCGAAGCCCATCGAAGTACAATATTTCAGATACTGTGAAACTATAAATATTCGAAATGATGGCATTGAATAGTAATAAAGTGTTATAGCTTTTTTGGCCTCATACGATACAGCAAATGCTTAAAAATCCGAAAGAGAAAGAGATAGTGGTAAAGGTGCAAAATAATTAATTAACCTAAAAAGTGATCATGGCTTGGAGACTAAATAACAGTAATAGAATTTCTAGGCATGTAATGTCTTCGAATGTCCTTAGACTCCTTACATTGCAAATTTTTGATTCACTATATAATGCAAAATTAACAGCCTTCCGCGTCGAGTTAATTCAAAAGAATGGCAACCGATCAGTACTGTGATTGTTTGATATGAACTCGATGATGGTAGAATTGCTACGGCTTCGAGACAATCACCTAGCCTTTATTGATGTCATTAAGGAGAGACTATGTAAAGCTGGCAGCACATTTCTCTATAGCTTTACTGGACTGAACTATCTTACCAGCTCTCTCATGTTTTATTAAATAAATTAGTTAGTTACATTAATAGATCACTACTAAATAATGTAGTTATTCTTAATTAGAATTGGTTAGTAATTGTTGGGTTTTTGACAGGTTATCTTCAAAATTATCCAGAAAATCAGGTTGTGTAGCTGTGTCTTTTCAGTCAGGGCCTCTCACTTATTGAATATTCAATAACCAATCGATGACACGAAGCCTACCTGATTCTTTTGCACTTGATATCAGGAGTTCGACATTCCGAAGATAATTCTAAACTTGGGTACGAGCGGTGATATTAGTTGATTGCTCATATCGTAAATTGACTGCAAATTTAAGAGAAATAATACCATGCAAATTCGCTCATTTTACAAAAGACTTTGATAGAGCAGCGAAATCATCGGTTCTTGTAAATCAGCTCGACCTTACGTAACTACGTAGAGAAATTAATAGTAACATTTAGAACCTGACTTCACAGACTGAAGAAAAGACCAACGTGAAACAGAAAAACTGTCGATATGCCAATTTCTAGAAAGTATGAGGTAGGTATCATCTCCTCGCGCAATTTTAAATTGTTTTTGTCAAATATATATCCAACGGATGTAAAACCATCATGTCATTTATGAATAAATACCACAAAAACCAACCGTCAATACACGACACGGGAATGTTTGATCATAACCAGTCCTTTTATTAACGAGTATCATTTCTTACTAAAACATTCCAATACTTGACAAAAAAATAAATAATCCCTCCCGGTGAATAATAAGCGGTATTTTGCTTATCTTACGAAAAGAGGAAGATTCTAAAAAATTGAATCTCCCAAAAATTACTACGAAAATGGTCCCAAAGTTTTAATAGAAATCCGGTGGTTTGAAATTGATGGCTGGAGTCCTATCCATAAAATTCAGCTATCGTTTAACGATTGGCGTCGATGCTGGTGAACTTTTCCTCCATGGTGCGAGTGATGGTCTCGTTGTAAACCTCCCTTAGGTGGTTCCTCGGTCCTCCAACTAGACTCCAGAATCACAGGAAAACTTTTAAAGTACTGTACATTAGTTACCTGGAGAACTCCTTTTTTGCAGAGGTAATTTTTTCATAACAAGATTCTGTATTTTAATGTTTTTATAATAAATCAACAGTTTAATTTTGATATTAAGTTCGTTCCCAATGTTGTAATGAACGATAGATTGGAGGATCCGTTCAATGATAAGAAGAATCATTGATGGTAAGTATAGTTACCACTTACAATGTTTCAATATGACATTTGTTGTTCATGAAGACATAAGTAAGGTTGAAGCTACACAGATCGCTATATAGTAAAATTTAGTGGAAACCTTTGAATGTTATCTGATCAAAAAGCTTTATTGAATTTTCTAAATAGCCGCTTTATCCAATTACAAAAAGTACTGCTTCTTTAATGAATAACTATGTATAATTTAGAAAACTATAAGTAGAAAATGTTGGATTGCAATTAAGCTCATCAAGTATTTTGAGATCATGGTTGGATTTTATACCGTTTATTTTTTTATTATTTCTAAAGATTTATAATTTATTGCGGAAATCTTTAATCATTAGCATCGCTCAGAAAATTGTTAATCAAACATTAGGATTTCAAATTGTTTGCATTTTTATTATAATGAAATGCTCTTGTTTACAATTAAAACGAGTGCGCTGTAGCTTTGATTCAGAATCATTCAGCGAAGAGCGTGAAAGACCGAAATCTAAAGATTAAACTACTAATTTATGATCTGCAATCAAATTTGAGATGAATTATCTCCGTAATATCACGATTGGCCCCTTTACGCACAAAGATTTTTAACCATTTTATTTAGAAGCTCAATGATGGGACATGGTTTAAATGCTAACATTTGGCTTCTAATATAATTCAGCGATCAAAACTGGGACTGAGAAAAATAATTCAAAAGTGTGATTTAATTTTTATCATTCGAAGTTTGAGTGGAAGTTTGATAAATATAAAGCGATTGAAATTCATATATTATCTGGCATTACAGACTATTTGTTTATAATGACAATAGTCAATTCAGCATACATATTCATGTACAATGAACACAAAAGTGAAATGAATAGTAATCAAACTTTTACAAGGTAAAATTGCATTAAATTTAAATAATATTCGCGCAAATATCGAAGCTGACTTCTAATATGTTACATAATACTTATCGTGAATAATGACGATTGTGAGGTTGGTCCAGCCGCTTCTTGAGCAACTCCTTCAAGAATTTTGAACTTTTTTCCAGTGCATTGTTTCCCTAATTTTTTCCTCGAGTTACCAAATTTATTATGCCACAATAGGTACGTAACCAATTTTTTCAATAGCTGTCAATATTGATATAGAATGATTTATGGAATGTCAACCCTGAATAACATACGGAAAATTTCAAAATTTTTCCCCAGGGGAAAATTTAACGCCAGCATGAAAACCACTGATCTAACGAATGATCGTACGAAACCTTGAGGGATCATATGTGTTAACAATAAATTAGATTACTTAAAGATCTACCAATTATTCCACTTTCAATATACCACAAATCACTGTTATATAAGTAAACCCCTACAGATTCAAAGTGGATAACGATAGCACAACCAATTTTCATTCAGTTCATGTGAACGAGTTAATTAATAACACGGTTCTGAAGATTATTCAACGGCCTAAATTTTAGGAAATTCCTTGTCAATTGAAGTGAAATCGCGGTTAACAACCGGAGGATAAAGTAATTGAAAGGCGGTGAAGATGAAAACGTGCGGCGAAGTAAAAATGTTTTATGAAAAAACAAGCAGTGGCAGCACAAATCTCTCTTGCACTTATTTTAGCGGCCGAGATTTCGCTAGTTAAATTCTTCAAAGTGTAACTGAACTTCTGGAAAGATAAGGAATTTATCAAGAACTTCCTAAACTGTCACCGTGATTAAAAACTTTGCTTGTGCGACGAAACAACTAATTCCTTAGAGGCAACCAGAATTTGTTGTCGTTAAAATTTGAATAAATTTCCAATCGATAAATTCCAGGAATACGGAAAATTACACAGAACACTTCAGTTCTGTTTTTCGCTTCGCTGGCTTCGTAACATAAGTATCATTTACAGCGTAACTTGTATGATTTTATTCATCGATAAATCAAATTTGCAAAGAAAGATGAGCAACTAAAGATTTCCCATAGGCGAGAAAAATCAAACTACTGCACTCAATTTTGCTTACACAGATACGCGGCCTTATTTTTGCACGCGGAATCGGTCACGTGGTAGAAGTAATTGGTTCGATCTAGAAACAGTCCCGCTCAATCCGAATTCTGATTCGGATCTACTGGACCCCAGTAGGGCGATGGGTGAACTGCTGCGATGGTTCCGCTTCCAAGCCATTTCCAAGTGGCGTGATCTGATGTACGTTGCAGGCCAATCCACAGAAATTTGAGGGATGCTGTGAAAAATAACACTTGCTCAGTCATATTACACGTTTGTTCAAACAAAAGAAGTTGTGACACAAGTTTCACGAGAGAAATGTGTCATTAAGTAGATCAAATAAACAGACTTGATCTAGGACGGTCCAATAAATGGAGTTATTGACATCGTATGGAGTTATTGTCCAAATATTTCGACAGAGTGACCAGTGTCTTAAATTTTACACTCGGAAAAAAATAAGAAAATGACTACTTGCATATTCACAATGCTTTCATGACTTACATGGGGGATTCTTCAGGAGGTATTCCCGCATAGCGTCGAAGTCGATGAGGAAGTTGGCGGTGAAGAGTTGGGAGTCGAAGGGACAGGACGCGGCGGCGGCGGTGAAGTTCAGTGCGACGGTGGAGACGTAAATGCAGCCCACGTTGTTCACGAGCGTGAAGTTGACCCGGCATCCCTGGCCTGGTAAAAATGTTCATTAGTTCATTCAGCGTCATTTGGAAGTAAAACCTCAATACCATTTCAATTATTAATGCGTTTATGACTAATGAACACAAAATTAATTCATGGAGACTTATTTTAAATGCTTGTAAATCCCCGAAATCTTGATTTGAATGAACCGCAGGATGATTATACATAATCATCCTGCTTATAATGTATTATATGCATTATATAGATTATGCATATTATACATAATTATCCTGCATAATCATCGTCATCGTATAATGAGGATGATTTCAATAAATCTGGAGTCAACTTTCATTTATTTCCAATTGCTGGTAACTTATTAAATGAATGAATGCATCGCCAATAAGAATTTTGCCGGTGGGACACAGAGCATTTCCATATCTAATATAATGAAAAAAATGAATAATAACACTAACTAGATTGAGGCTATAAAATAATTGAACCTTGAACACATGCGCGGGCTGAAATAACGCGACGCTAATATTCTTAAGCTTCAGAGTGTGAGGATTGAATGTAATTTCTAGGAATTGTATTCACGTTTGTAGAAAATCCTGCTGTCAAGAGCTGGGACCGTAAGGACCGTGAGGTTTTCTGCGACGTTTTTTTCAGTGAAGGAGCAGTGGAAGTGGCGTGGTGGCTGACGCCTGATGGCTACCGCGACGCATGCTTGCCGGCACAGCGCGCGACACTCGCCTGAAAGAGTTTACAGATTCGTAAAAATCGTTATTTGAACTTTTTCCATTTATTCGTTACAGAAACATTTACGCGCTTGATTTTTACCACGACCATTCATAAATAAAACGATAGTGTCGTCTGTGTAAAGGACTTTCTTGTAGGCTAGTCATTTCGAACGTAGACTAAGCTTTCCCAGGACGCGCCTTCATGGCAGGATTACAACCAACATTCCACGACGTACGGTTTCTAGAAAGAAAATCACAAGAAAAATATACAATGAATAAAGCATGAAACGGCAATATAGAAACTACGACAAATCGATAACAATGAAAAGAAATAATAAATAATCAAACGATAAATCTAACTAACCTAATAGCTTGGTTACTCGGGTACAGCAGGCATCTAGGGTCAAACACTGAATGCTACGGCGCACTTGAAATTAACTACGTCTGGTAGGCTGATTCTATTGCTGAAAGTCCCAGTGAACCTGGAAAACGGCGGCTACCGTCTGATTAGGCTCACATGGACGCTGCACGACCGCGCTGCTCGAGATCGCAGTTGCGGCAATTTCCGCGCCCATGAAAGTCCTGAACGTATAAGCTGAGCCCTCCTCGATGCTGCAACAGACGCACAGCAGCGCCCCGAGCGCCGCTAGCAGCCGCAAGTCCATCTTGCTGGGCTGAATTTACCAGTCAACAATTACTGATAAATAAAGATGTAATTCAGATTCTATTGTATGCCTCAATAGATTCGGCAAAAATCATCGAAAAGATCAGAGCTTGGTTAACCGAGATCTGGCTCATAAAGTATTGTCATAATATTTCTTTTCGTAAAAATTATCTGTTTCACATAAAGAGCAAACAGTCGAGTAATTGTTAAAACTGAAGACGAATTTATCAACAAGCTCCTCTAATATTGGGAGTTTGACATCAATATACTATGAAATCGGGCTGTCAACTAAACTCATTTTCGTTCGAGAAATAATGTTTTTTTCCTAACATATTAAACACATTACATTTTTTGGAAATTTATTTTATTAATTTTAAACTCTAAGTAAAAACTTAATTATTATTGCAACACCGTTTTATTGGATACACATATGAGATTTTCACCCGCTCTGCCAAAGAGAAGGTGAAGCGCACTGACAAGGTTCAGTAAATCAACGCAAGCCGCTATGCCCTTGCATGCTGGAATGTAATTAAGTTGGTCTTCGATATGGACCATCTTTCTGAACATTTATAGAATAGTTGATTGATGTGTCACCGTTAACAGCACGAACTTCGCATTTAGGTTCGCGAATAGAACTTCTTCGATTTTGATATCAGGCTGAATATCAGATGACACTCAAATTTATTCGTATAGAGTTTGAAAGTAATGTGATGATAATTTAATAAAATCATAATTTAATATAATAATAATAAACTGAAATAAATAATAAGTATAAGAATTTAATATCACTCTTTATAAACTCTCTTTTCATTGGAGGATCCTTCATAAATTAATGCAGATTATTACTGTTTTTTCCTGACGAGTTAATTTTCAGACGAAATTAGCAAACTTTTTCGTGATTCCATGCGTAATAAATGCACTGAAAGTTGACAAGCACTCAAGTATTACTTATTTGACTATCCAACCCGATTATATGCGAACAAAATCATATGGACGTTTATATTCTAGTTTTTACTGCATCACCAAAAATGCTCGACACGAAGATAAAATTAGGTCATTTATCAAAATTCATTTAAAGCTCAAGTCATTTCAATCAACTTGAAATTTCAACCCAAAAAGAATTGTATTCAGTACATTTCAAGGAACACCAGCCGGTAACCAGCGAGCACGAGCAACAGCGCGAACTCAGTGGCATAAACCAATGAATTAACGATTGCGAAGCAATTCACGGGTAGAGAGTGGAACCCTAATTGCACAAAAAAAAACATTGAATGATGAATAAAAAACTGTTTACAAATCTATCCAGCACGATTTGAAGCGAAAATATGTTGTAGGCGTTACAGGCTGTTTTTGATTACAGATAGGCTTTATTTGAAAAAATGTATATAAATATATGCATAATATCAATTCTTAAGCCACATGCCCTGGAGGTGACGCTTAAAATTAAAAAATCAATCGATCACTGGTAGGCGCATGACTGAATGAGGCCCATAAGCGTTAACTCCAAATTACTGAAGCACAATATTTTACTCTAAGCGTTAAGATCAGACTATTGAAATATAAATAGTTCAATATTTGTACTCCAATGAATATATTTCTTTAATTGGTAATGCATGCTTAGATTAAACTAGTTCGTTGGGAGTCAATCACTTCGCGCTCAGGTTGTGAACTTGGAGTAAGAAGCTAATGTAGAATAACCATCACAGGCAAAACTAATTTTTCATGACCAGAAGTGGAACAGATGATAAAATATTACTAATTTTATTTAAATATTACTAATTTATTTTTATTACTAATTTCAATATTCTTCATCGTCTTTCGTAAAGTTTGAAGTCTCAAGTTGCACAACAGACAGGCATTTCCAATCTGCTGGTAAAGAAGAAATGAAAGCAGTCTTCGGTCGATACTGCTTATAGTTTCGTCACTGACTTGTGTAAATGAAACATTTGAGTTCATATTTTTTATTAAGGTTAAAAAGTACGCAACAATTACGTGAATTGGGTCTTATCCTCGAAAAATGAAATTGCCATCGCAACACTAAAGTGAAATGATGACTTTCCAGTAATTTTGCGACAGGCTCCTCCTAATAATGGAATCGAAATTAGTAAAATATGCAGCGAAAACAAAAATGACATCTAATAGGGAATTCACTCACTCACGCAGGCATGCTTTTCACTGCATACATCAACATCACCTAACCTCATTCGCACATAAGGTTAAAATTGGGATATTAATTTTATTTTTTTTTTTTTGCTTGTGTGATCCCTTTGCGGACATACCGTTAGAAACAACGAATATTCAAGTGATTACTTGCAAAACAGTAATAATGCTCTCAGAATCAGGAACATTTATTTTTGTGCATGAATTTTTTTATACAAGCTTCATAGGATATTTGTTTTAAAAAGTTAATTTTAAGGGACTGTCTACTCCATGCTTAATTATTGCTTTGGTCTGTCTTTTTGATCGCTTTGCAAATTATTATGCATCCACGAATCCTGTTAGAAGCGAATGCCAAAATAAGCGATAAGTAGAGTTTAAAAGCTAGAATTCGACTGATTGGTGCCCGTATTCATTGAATAAGAACGCCTAAATAATGGGTTGAGCAACGACACACTCTGAACGGACTACGTTCGTTTACCGCACATTTTTCCTGCCTAGTCGCATCATTCACATTTTCTTTCTTATAACAACGTCTTCGTAAAATAGATCTTACCGCTACCATTGGACAAATTTTGTCAATATGAAAACTCGATCTAGCAAAGCGCACAGTAATTCATGAGACAGTGAAGCACTAATTTTCCTGCGTATCCAATCAACGAATGTGACTCTCGGTTCGTGATAGCGAACGGAATACATTGATGGCAATTTGTGACGAACTCTGGATCTGGGTACCAGGCTAAAATACGAATGTTGCTATTGAGGTCACTTTCTCGAGTATTTCTTACAAAATTTTGAACATAATTATTTAGAAATGATTATATTAGTGCGAAAGATTACGATTCAGTTCTTGTACAGCCAGATGTATTAATCAGATCCGAGATACAATTAAGAAAACATCTATATTGCTCGCAAATGACTTCTTTTAACATTCAACTCTAACAAAAACGAAAAAATTAACACTGACAGTAATATAGTGACATATAGCATAACAAAAGAATAAATTGCGACTGCGGAAACTAGTTCTCAAAATTTGCTAATTGTTTCGCGTGTAAGCCACCGACGAAAACATGGAGAATTTGAGAAGCACACTCTGTTTGAGAAGCACATTATGGAAGTTTATCAGTCCACATACGTGCATGTGTCTATAAATGCTGGAGTTGACTCTTCCAACATTCCTTTGTTTGATTAAAAGTGAGTGTGACTGGGCTGTGTAGCTAGCTCAAGTCTGTACGTTTTTCGATGTTAGTTTACTCCAAAAAAAGATTTCTCCGATTTCTACCCTCAGCGAAGTGTTGGCAACACACCTTATTACGAGACATTGCTTGACACTGATATCGGAACGACGATCTTTTCAAACCAGTGGTGAACTTTTTGCTCGACTTGCGAAACAGTCACCAACAAAACACAAGCGTGTTTTCCTGTGCCCTTGCAGGGCGCGCTGTTGCAGAAATAGTGCTCCTTCATCACGGGTTTATTTTTTAACATAGTTTAAGGTGCTTTGGCAACTTGAGAACTTAGGCCGTAACTTTTTAAACACTTTCCTTGATAGCCACGTGACTTTTCTTAACAGCCAAAAATTGCCTGTTCAAAATATTGAGTATCAAATAAATAAAATAAAGTTAGCATTTCAACTAAGATTACTTCGAAACATGAATCACTTCACTTTAATCTCTCATTTCTTCCTAATTCCAACATTTTATGATAAAATAATTTCAAAATATGGACTTGCACCGAAGATTCAACTTCACTACGGGTGACGTTCTTTTATTTCTCACCTGCAAGCGCAAGTGACCAAAGTGCAGTTCTTTTGACCGCAGAGTTTCCGATAGGTGGCCATGGAAGGCGCGACATATGTTATGTCCTTCAACTCGTCTTAACCTCCTTTGGGCACACGCTTGCAGGTAACCTTTATACCAGCATCCCACGCGTGCAATATATCAGCTACAGTTCACCTAAAAAGTTCAAGCAACGAGGCAGCAACGTCTTATTGACATTTCAACTAACAAGTTCAAGAAAAAAACATCATACCAGTAACAAATCACCTAACGAGTTAAAAGAAGCAGCATCGTATTAGTAACAGTTCGTCTGATAAGTTCAAGGAATGAAACTAAGTACTGGGAGAGTCGTGTGCTCAGTTTCAGAATCGTACGAAGTTTCTCCTGGAAAATTTTGGAAATGCATTAGGGAGGTTGAATTTCTTTTAACTTTATACTCTTATTAATTGAAACAAGCTAATGCGACAAGTTACAATAATATGGATCACATTTTAGAGTACGTGTCTGAACTTCGCAGGTTAGAACCAGTGAAGGCTGAAGAAGTCCACTTCAGCATTGTTTCAATTGAGGCTTGAACTTCTTTCTATAGTTTCTGTTTAGAATGTTATTACCAGCTCGAACTTCTCAAACTCAGCGATAGGATGCGCGCTTGCCTTCTATGATGGTAATAAATATCCTTGGATATGACCGGTAGGGAATGAACTGAACTTGAGGAAATTACTCATAGTGACCAATAGTAACTTCTCATGTAGTAGTATGAATAAAGAAGAAAGATTAAAAAAATAAATTGCTCACCAATTGCCGATTCATGACGTTTTTCAATACCTCGTCAATCGTGTCGATTCACGAGGTATTGCATTCGTATATTTATTCCGAATTCTAAAAACTTTTCATTTTACAGAGCATGTACCGGTAATTATGCTCTATTCAGCAACTTCATGTTTTATACAAAATCAGCCACGGAATTTGCCATATTTACACAACGTGTTTCATGATTATGCTGAGAATTGT